TTAAAAATTAATATGGCCTGGAGCTTTCATATCACAGCATTCATCAGAAGGGTACACATCATCATATTTTGGTTAACAGGTCATTACTAGACTTGTTAATTTCATGTACTTACAAACATATTGTGTGTTATTTTCTCTGTTAAATGCCTCATACTGTCTAAATGTTACAGCGTTAATGCTATTGTTAAGAAACATCATGAATGCAGTCATGATATGCAGTGTTTCAGTGGAGCCAAACAATTTTATCCATTTTCACTCCTCTATTTTTTTACACCAATCTCGCATGATTTATGGATTTTGTCATGCACCCTGGGTTAAGAAAAGATATAGCAAGACACAGACTGAGCAGTCAGTTACACAAATGATTACAAGGCAGATGCACTCAGTGAGAGTAAACATGCACAGTTAAATTACTTATGAATTTTGTTTCATGATTTCATTGTACATCTATTACAGCTTTCTCAATCACACATATTTAAAGCTGTCAACGCTGTCTGCACACTCTTTTTTACAAACATAGCTTAAAGGTGAATTCCAACAAGTTCTGCATTGTGCAATTATTGAGATATAAACAAAGATGTTCAGAATGGTTTGATGTGAAGAAAAACTTACTGGCTCAGATTTCTTTACAGTGGTGGTGATAGGAACAGTGGTGGTTGTGATGTATACAATGTAAAACAGCCCTTTTGTTTTCTATCCAAAATGACCAGTAAGCCTTCATGTGTTTTCTGAGTTTTTATATGCAGTGTTGACAGGGTTCAACAATAGTGATTGCCTGAATGCCTGACATTGGGACAGCAGCACAAAGTTGGGCAAGTTCATGTTGGTGGTCTGGAGCACAAGGTGTTAACAGAGCAATGTAACTGAGGCCAAACCTATTTCACCTGAATATTTAGACCCTCGCCATGCAAATATGATCTTATTCCTTTGCACGAAACAAACCATTGGTATTATTTGTTTACAGACAACATCAGAGTGAAACATGCAGGAAAATGGCAGCAAAGTGCAAATACAAAGAAAAGCAAGCTTGATTCCCTCATGGAAAACTCAGGTTTCATGGGTCGATTTTAAACCCCTCTGTACCTGAGATGTACTGTAAAATTTGTAGGAAATATCCTAACAAGGCAGATTAAAGTGGTTCTTTTTTGTCAAAACTATTTACTTTTAAAACTTTTAAAAACTGTCACTTGAGTGTCACAAGTCTCTCACATTGCGTGTGCAGCAGCAAAAAAAAGCCGCTAGCATGTCTGAACCGCTGGACATGTGCATACGACAAATGAACAGTGAAGCAGATTCCAAGCTGACCAAGTTAGTCACAACGGCATATCACACAATTAAAAGAGAAAAATCTTTCACTGTTTATCCACGAGATAGAGCTTCAAATTAAAAATGCACTAGAACTTTGTAGCCAGTATTGTACTGACATGGCTTGCAGAAAGAAAGGTAATATTCACTAACTTATGTATGCCATGGTAATATTAAGATTACTGATAACTTGAATGTGAATGTATTTAGAATAAAATAGAAATGCAATTCAGTGGTGGGAAATTGAGCAGTTTTGTGAAAAAGTGTTGTCTCAATGATTAGGTTTACCAGGGTGATCTTATTTATATAAGCATGGCGTGCTTGTTTATATATGTATAACACTTTAAAATACAAAGATTTGTTTGTGACAGTAGAAATTCGGTTCGGGACAGTAAACTTTCAGGTCGCTTGCCTGACTGGGCAAGTTGGGGAAAAGTTAACGTTGAACACCAGTTCATATTGATAAAACAGTGGTAAATCCACAATTTTTCCTTTGGGTACTATTTTGCCTTGCAACACTCAAGATGTACCGCTCCACCGTAAATGGTTTACAAGAATATATTTTAGGTAAATCAGCGTAAAACAACGCCTCAGTCAAGACATGTATTTGTAAACATTTTGTGTAAGAACATTCTTTGGGACTTGGCAGTCTAGCACACTGCATTTAGTGGTCAAGCCTCTAGGCTAAACAAATAATTGCGCTGACGTTCTTGGTGAAAAAAGTGCCTGGGGCTTAATTTATAGAAAATAGTTTTTAATTTTTATTTGCAATCATAACATTAGTCAGAAAATCGCTATTAGATATTTTCTCCAAATCTCTCAGCCATAGCTTCCTATCACCAGCACCGTAAACAATTCTGACTCTCTAAGTTTCTAGAATGCAACATTCCACGTTTATCCACTCGGAGTGACTTTGCATACATATTTAAGATTAAATTATGCAGAAATTCTGAAATTCTGTGGAATTTTCCTTTAAGGTTTGGTTCCTTCTAAGTAAAGTAAATGTTTTAAAAGTAACACTCTGCCTGTTTTCCTTCTCAGCACATACTTCAGCTAAAGGCAGTGTTTGAACCATGAGGGCATATCGCTGTAAATATATATGACAAAGTCCAATAGAGACCTTCATGCTGTGTGCACACATACACATACACCCAGAAAGCACAAAAAATTCCCACCCTTGATGTGAGATCAGCTATAAACACAGCACCAGGCTGGTTATCTCAGCTAAGCCACATGGCTTCAGGTTAAAGCCAAGATAGGAGGGAAATTTCCCATGCTGGCCACCTTACGCACCTCCCTGGCAAGTGTTTCCGCAAGGAACAGGGACTTTGTCGAACATACGAGTCCACTTGCAAACAAGAGCTCATTTAAAAACATAGACAGAAACGGTAAGAGAACAATCACACCAAAAATATTCCTCAAGGGAAATTCGGTTGAGGATCACCTTTTGATCCTGCCCCTCAGGATGCCGTGAGAAATTGTCTTGAGTGTTTGCTGGTGGGATTGAGCCTGAAGCATGCAACCTCTACAAATGCTCTGCTTTTGAGACAGCCCATGTCAGCCAGCTTCTAGAGATCCTATTGTGGGATGTCTTGCCACAAGAGGAGACAAGAAATCAATGCAGACTAGGAGAGAAAAACAAACACGAGCAGAAGATGGCTTTCAGCTTTAATTTCTCCAAGGGCTCAGCAGAAGATCACCACTGATCATGTAGTTTAGTCGAAGAGAAGGCTTAAGGTGCATGCAGAAATATGCATGACTACGTCAGAGGACTCCACGGAGAGGCTGCCATTTAATGCCCCACCCTGTGTTAGAGGGTGATTAAAAACACAACATATCTATTCAACCGATGACTATGGATGAAGATTGATTTTTCTGGATGAGAAAGAGCAGTTCGACTCTATCTTCAGTATGAGATTGATGTTCATTTTTCCTATAACTGGAGGAACACATTATTATGACATGACAAATCAAATCAAATAGCTTCTCCATTTTCAAAAGTGCTTTTGGAACTGTCAATCAATCAAGATGAACTGTTTTATCACAGATGTGCATTTTACCAGTTGCTTGGATTCTGCTGGGATGAGTGATATTCACACTTATTTAGTCCTATTTTTTTTTTTATTTCCCTAAATTGATATACTGACCTGTGTTTTGCCCTACGGACAGGCAAAGCATTACTAAAGAAAAGTATCTGAAAGGGATTCATAGAAACTGTTCATAGACCATGACTATTACCTCTTCAGGACTGATTTGAACGTTACCGAAGTCTATTGACATTAACTCATTGGTCAACTGGAGGATCAATATGTAGATGTTAGGGAATGTTAGGGAAGCTTGTCTAAGGTGGTAAAGTACAAATACAGAGCAAGAGGGCATACAAGCCATACTGGGGCATTATTTATTAATTATGTCATAGCAACATATCACGATATGAATGCTACATACAAAAGTATGCAGACACCTGTTCAGCCATTTTTTTTTCCGAAACGGCAGGTAATAATCGTGAGTTTGTTTGCCCTTGGCTGCAACAGCCTCTATTCTTCTAGGGATTCTCTGTTGGTACATTGCTGTGAGGATTTGACTGCATTCAGCCACAAGAGCACTAGTGAAGTCAAGTACTGATGTTGGAAGATTAGTTATGGATTACAAACAGTACTCCAACTCATCCCAAAGATATCTGATAGTACTTTAATGTAATTCCACTGCTCCACAGGCCAATGGTGGGGGGCATTATACCCCCCCAGCTGACACCTGGCACTGGGCATGGTGACATTAGGCTCTTGTACAGCTAATCCAGAGCGTCCCATTCCACTGGCAATGCTTTTCCATGGAGATTATATGAGCTGTGGGAGTGCAAATGAACACCTGTGTCAGCTACGGGTGCACCATAAATTAGCTTAATTATTGGAAAGGGTGTCTGGATACTCCTGGACATATAACGTTAGCGCATACAAATATAAGCATGGTACACACTTCTTCAATAATTCCTTACTGCGACATAACGATAGGAGCATTACAGACCTGCAGGACCAGTCAGCAAAAAATACAACGACACAACTCCCATTCAATAATCACCTCAAAGCCATTCACAGCAGGCTTGCTGTTTGTGAAGGCGATTTTTTTATTTTCTGTGTTGTACCTGCAATGAGGAAGGAGGGGAGAAGCAACACGGAGCACGGATGGACACAGGGTTACAAACACACCCAAACGGAGGCAAAACTCCAGCATCCGCAGTCTTTACAAGGCTTTCCAGTGCATCGTCTATGGCGACGATGCTGCTGCAGAGCGTTTTTTCCCACCTGCACAGCAGAGCAGGGGCTAGAGCTGAGAACGGCATTCAAAAAAACAGAAGGACGAGAAAAAGCTAACCTAACGGCAACAGCACCGAGCCCTGCGGAGGAGCAACGGCGACGCAGAAGCTCGGCTAGAGATGTACGGCACCTCGGGGCGTCAACACTGGATGGCAGAGAGCAGCTCAGACAAGATTAGAGAGTCACGAAATGTGAGGCTGGGTGTGACATGAAAGATTTAGCACCCTCTCTCTCACACCAACACGCGTAAAGAAGGATGCTCAAGCAATATTATTAGCTAACGCTGGTTTCGCGGAACACTCGCGAGCACCTACGGCTGTTAGCGTTAGTTTGTCACCAGTTAGGTTCGTCTCTATCCTCGAGTTTGCTTCGTTAACTTACCAGCTAACCCCTCTTCTTGTTTTTCCCCTCATTAAAATTGGTGTCAGAAAGTTATGTTCGACACATTCGGGCCCTGGTTTCGTCCGCATTAGCCCGCTGACTGAAGACCATAAAGTGGGCGTAGCAGCAAAGCTAACAGCCTTCTCCTCAGCTATAGAGCGCCTTTGTTTACTGGCTTCTGTCAGCGCAGGTTCAGGCGTCAGTAGCTGACGTTTTAAAGGTGACTAAACAAAAACTCTCCGCTTTAAAGTGAATAAATCACCGACACCGACACTAGACGGCTCTTCTCTTTGCTCCAGAGAGGCTCCTCTTCACAACTCTGCTCTCGGTGCTCAGACCGTTATTTTAAATTTCAAAGTTAACGTGGAGTCCGAAAACGGTTGGACCAAGCTTAACGGCTCTCACCTGTTTTCAGCAGTCTAACGGTTTTCCACCATCTTCCGTCCCTGCCTTTCACACTCTGCCCGAGTGCGTTCATTTTTTTCCGCACCCGTCTTCCGACATATCCCGCCTCCTTGCGCTACGATTGGCTAATAGTACGTCGACTCCGTCGCTTGGATTGGCTGGTAACATCCGATCCGGCGGACACCTTGTGAGTATGAACTACTAACCAATCCTAGCGCAGGCGGCGAGATACTACCAGCCAATCGCGGCCTAAGAAGCGAGGCTTGTCGGAATATGAGTGGAGAAAAAAATAAACTGTAGTTCTGTGACTCCGCCCTAACGGCAGGCGTGACATCAGAGGCCTGGGAGTCAAACAATACCAAACGCACCAGCATTTCTGAATGAAGCACTGCTGCTGAAAACAGTCTGTAAATTGACTATGGCTGGCATTGACTCCAGTTTTAATTGACTTTCTTTGTGGTTGACAAGATAGCGCGCAAAAGTAAAATAACTTGGTAAATATCTTGGTAAACTTCGTTAATATATTCCTTTTAGTCCGCTTTTCAATTAAACCTGCATTGAAAAACTGATGAAGTGGGCCAACATGCTAATTAATGCAGGTCTACCAGAGATTCTGTAACAGGTCTCTGGGTCTACTTTATCATATGCTAAGAAATGATGTACTGTGCTTGTATATTGGCTACAGAATGGGGGGTGGGGGGAATGCCCCCTTAAGAACAATGTCCATTTACTAAAAAGCTAAACCACATCTGACCATGAGTTCAGTGTGTGCAGGATGATGACGCATAAGCCTATACACAATTAGAAGAAACAACAGAAACAGTGGTCAAGCGGCAATGGGTGGGTCCAAGCCCTAACAGTTCAGTTTGGGCCAGTGAGGCCCTAGGAAGCCTAATGCAGTTTAGACCAAAAGCCTTTATTTCCCATAAATGTTGGAAAGTGGACTTTAAACATGACATATGTTAAAGTTCATGTATACTGATCTTTTAAGCTTTATATATCAAACAAAAGGTTTTTAACAAATAAGTCAAACAAAGCAATAGCATTCAATATCTAATTGTTAAATACATAAGTGCAGATGACTACTGCACATCACAGAACTGATCAAGTGTGGATGTAACTGCCAAAACTCACATACAAACTCATGTCCAAGCAAATTAGCTAAATAATATCTATTATCTATTATGCTACACGGGGTCCTTTGACCCTTGTTTGGGGAGGAAGATCTAAATTTACATTTTTTACTTAAAAAGAGAAAATATATTGTTTTCTTCCTCTCTAAATCAAATGTTCTGCTCTCTCCACAATCCTCCCACACCCTCTCATTTATTTTATCTCATTTTTATTTTTTTATACATAATATGATTGCACAGATCAGTTTTATCCAATGTCAAATGACCCCAAAAAAGTTTTCAGGGGAATAAATCCCAGGAATGCAGTGATCCAGATGAAGTTTGAGAGTAAATGAATCCATAGCCATTCAGTAAATGTGTCGATTAGATTTGACCCCATCATTTGATCACGAAAAAAAAAAAAAGAAGGGGACGGAAGCAATCTTACCCTCAGGTGCATCTTCCCCAACTTCCCCTTCTCAATATTACTTAATTTTCTCATATTCTCAAATCAACCATTTACTTAGTGTTTCTACAAAATGCACACAAAAAAACACAACCCACAAGATTCTCCATTTTAAAGAGAAATTTTATTTCATGTGGTAGGCAACTGACAAAACATTTACTGTGGATATACATCTTTTTAATCTACAAATAAATATAGGACACATTGATGAGATGCTAGATTTGTTAGTTATTGTGGTTTTTTTAAAAAAAAAACTACAGTACCTTATGTAAACTTATCTAAAATGAGAAGGAAAATACCAAAAAAAAACTACATTTCTTCTTCCCAACATTTGATGAAATTTATGAGAATGTATCTGCATAGATGCACCAGCACGTTTCAGCTCAGTTCTTCATATGTTGCGTTACGCCATTTGATCCACAGACGTGATGCATAAAGGAAAAAAAACATGTAACACAAATGCAAACGTTTTCAGCTTCTTTAAGACGAGAAATTATCATACTTCGAGCTGTTAGAAGTTAGAGCTTTCAAAATTTAGCAAGATAACATATTAGAGTTAAGGTGGAAGCCCTGAAAAAGATAAGACTTAGAATATAGTCAGTTCTCAGAAACAACAGCTTTTGTATAGACGAGACTGTGACGATAGTCGGTACAGTGGCAGAACTTGTATAGTAGAAGCACAAAAAGCAAGACAGTTCATGGAAAGGAAGAGTAGGAGTGATATTTTTCTCCTTTTTGTGCCAGCTTGGACCATGGAAGCAGAACAGCAACAAAAAATCAAATAATAATTCAAATAATTTCTGAACAAGCAACGAAAAAGGCAGCTCACTTTACCAGAAACATGACAACTGCTTCAAGTAAGACATGTAACAAGAAGACTTCTCAGGTGAACATGGCAAGTCTCAATTTGGTGCAAAGGGACTAAATAGAAGTCACAACCATAAGCATGTGGTGCTTAGTGTAACAAGAACTGATCACTGTTTGAAGCTGTCCTTCATAATGGCTCTGATCTACATCAGCTTTCAAACCATAATCTGTTTGTTCGTGCTGAGAACAGGACCAAAAATTCTTTGATATAATGTAACATGAGCACCTGATGACACTTTTGAACACAAACAAGTTTCTTTTTGCCAAGAGATAATGGATAGGAGGCAGCCTAGCTTTCAACACAACAGAAGGAAAGCGGAGTGAAGGTAGAATGGACTTTATTGCCAAGCAAAAAACCAACAACCTACCACTCCAGACTGCTACGGCACCTCAGAGCGAACAAGGTGTGAGAGAGACACTCCAGAAAGGCCAGATATCAAAAGCCAAACTGAAATAGCCCCAGATAAAGTCACTACAGAAGGATGGAGGTGAAACACTTCAATGTATACAGTCACTGTGCAATTACGCAAATATTTCCTAAGATGAATGGTATAAAACTAAGCTTCAACTCATTAACTCTAAGGTCCAGTTTTCAGACACAGCTTAAGCCTAGTCCTGAACTAAATTATAACGTCAGTATTATCGTTTTTCGTCTATAAGCAGACTCAATCCGTATCTGAGGAACTGATCTTAAGATGTTTGAGTTCTAGACACACTAAAAGATGTCAGACTGTTTTAAATATTTTAGTGTCAGAATAATACAAAGCAAAAATGGATTTTGCATATGCAGTAAAGTGATAATAGAGTAAGTCTGAAAGTGACACAACTCATAAGACTGACAAGGTCATATTGGCTATGCATTTCTAACATCCAGACCTCTACACGTGTGCCATAAATCACTTCCGCTACTGTTACAAGACTGCGCAATTTCTAGAGTTATTACAGGAGGTTGGTAATTACTACAGCTTGGCTAGGTCAACCTAAGAGTTCATTAGCTGTAATAAATCATGAAATGAGTGAAGCAGTGGAGCTACCATGAATTTTACATCAGATCTGTTTTTTGCATAAATATAAGTCAATGTAGTGTTAAAAGATAAGCAGCATCTGTCAACCCAGGCTTGTTAAAGCCTTGTTGTGTGGGTGCAGAAAATAAGCACCATTCGACAAGTGTTAGACTTTAACTTGGTAGCTTGTACTGATTCTAATAAGGTAATACCATCCACACGTACAGATGAGTGGAGGAAAATACTTGCGCTCTATTGCAAATGCTGAAATTCCCCTTCATAAGGAAAACCCACAATCGTGTGATACCATGCTACGTAAAATGGATAAAAACCACACAGTTTGTGCTTAAATGCTGAGATTCATCCGATGTTCATGGCCAGATGACCTTCATTGTTCTAGAGTGAAGTTAATGTGCTTCTATGAGAGTCTAGAGTTGAATGAGGCCTGAGCCACTAATACAGCAACAGATAAGACCTAAGTAAAATCTTAAATCCCAAGAACGCCACCCATTTCCACCATATATTCATCAGCTGCGTACAAAAGTATTAATAAATATTGATCACAAAAGGCTCAACCTACTATGTTGTTGTAAATGATTTTGAGAAGCTGTAAAAATCCTTGATTGTGCTCACATTGCTGAGTCGGATTCTAGCAAAATGCTGTGATATTTGTATGCGCCAGTACAAAAGCTCAAAGAGTAGACGGAGACAGGCATCCGGACCCTGTATGCTCTTGATTAAACAAAAAAGGAGAAAGTGGGTCAGGATAACTTCAGGCTTCAAGACTTCTCTAAAGTGTGCACTGAACCCTCTTGACAGGAACTCTACAACTGAAGGCAGCATCATGAGAACATCCTGCAGCCGTAAGTTGTGGAAGACGAGAAACAAAAACAAAACAAAAAAAAGAACAAAAAGTCTAGCAAAACTTGAGAAAGAAAATGATATAAAAACGTTGCACAGAACTGGCAAAATATCGAAACAGACCTGAGATATCAAGATATCAAGTACCTGAACTAAAGCGGACACTGCAGACCAGCCAAATCAGACGAGTGTCACTCTGCCAAGGCTCATCATTGGTTTTCATCACGAAGGGGAATTTGCTGACTGACAAACTGGAGGCCAGCAACTTTCAGAGGGCAGGGTGTAGGTGGTTGGTGTCAAAAACTAAGCTGACCTATCAGGGCTCCCACTTCCCTGTGGGAGAAGCGTTTCTCGGGCTACTGACCTATGACAGAGTCCAGCCACTTCCTGTAAGCGTTGGCGAAACGGCCTTGCTCGGGGCTTCGGCAGCTACTGAGGATTCTTGAGACGAACAAATGTTCAGAGGGGAGGCCGGGGCAGGGTGGCACAGGCCCTCTCTTCAGCCGCTTGGTGTCCTGCGTGTAGCCTCCATGCTTGCTGCTGTCTGGCACACAGTCCACGTCCATGGCCTGTGAGCT